GTTGACATTTAGTATGGGTGCGTATTCCCAGTAACGCTTGCCGAACCCCAATCTAGTCCTCGTGGTGGTCCAGCGCATCTACCGCGTGGTGTCGTTTCCGGAAGGGCAGAGTTTGCCCTATCTTCCGATGCCTGTAATTAAAAAGAACCAGATATGTGAAGACCGGTCCCATGTTTACAACCCCGTTGTTTACTAATCTCAGCAATTCTCTATAGCACTAAACATTTTATTTCAAGTACGCCTGCTAGTAAATGTGAGCCTATTGCAGGAGTCAGCTTACATTGGATAATTGAGAGGCAGATAATACATCGAAAGTTCTGCTGCACTGCAAATGTGCGCAAACTGGAATTCGAAGTGCAGACAGACCAATTACTGATCAGTAAGTGAAAGGGTAAGATGGACAAACACAAACGAAATGACCGAGTTGTCGACGTGTGCGTTACCTCCAAAAGTGGGTCAGATCTGAGACCACAAATTCAGATATGAGCACGATCAAAGAGAAGCGAAAAGCCTTTGTTAACTTGATAGCAAGAGAAGAATTGAAGGGCCAAACACAACTGTCTACCACCCCCCACCCGAATAATTACCCTTATATTGCGCAACACCTTAGACTCAAGGCAAAATGCAAGACAACACTGCAAGTGACGTATTTCAACTCTTCAAACAAGAGTGAATGGTTGCAAAGTAACGAACGAAATGACACAGTCATAACAAGCCATGACTCCTCATAAGAACGAGTGAGGAAAGGACTTCTTGCGCCCAAACAACCGACGTCTCCTTGGAAAGACCAAATATCGACAAAAGTACTCGAGACGATTGTTTGCAAATTATCCAGACCGATTTCACGTATTTTAAATCGTTCTTCAACCGATGCATCCTTACCGCCGACTGGGATGGCTATCAGTTATAGGCAGGTGAACCTAATATGCATTCGTCTCAAAGTTGTGGAACCAATCAGCAGAGAATATACCACGAATTTCCTTGAAGTGAACGACACAATCAAACGTGTTCGACACGGTTTTCGACGATGTCAGTGCATTCTATTCAGTGCAAAATCGATCCCATGAGTTAAAGGACACAAAAGCCGGCGTTTTTTCATCAATTGCAAAAATGCTTTCGCTTGTGTTCCACATCGTCGCTTACTTTTCAAGCCTAGAATATTTGAGACGCAGGGAAGCCTACCGAAATGAACAGAGGACTTCAAGATCGACCGAATACACTCGGTGTGCCTAGGCAGTGCGAAATCGGTATTAGAGCTAGTTGCCAGTGAGGTATCTTGGAGCTTCATTCTTGGAGCCCTGATGTTCTTCATCTATGTCAGCGACTGCATGACAGGACTGGATTGCAGGGGAGTAATGTTTGTAGATGACATTAAAATACGACACGCGATCAAATAAATTAATGATGAAGGGCCGTGCAGGAAAGACTACATCATCAATACGTATGATCCGAAATGTGATTGTTCAATGTTATCTTGAGAGGTGGGTTACACTGCGGAGAATGCTTGGACAAAGGGCAAATATCATCAATACTTCCTTGACGGAAGGGCCCTGGCAAATGAAATTCAACGGATGACCTCGAAGTTACGATTTGTTCATCTCTGAATCTTCCATTCCAATGTGTCAGGGCGGCAAATGTTGCCTTTGCAATTAAAGTGTCTTCCATTGACATAGATATGGAGTTTGTGAAAAAAACATGCTGAGCATTTAGCCGTTCGCAATCAAGACAGAACAATATCAGTTGTGGTACCTCTGGCTGTAGAAGATTGTAACCCAGTGGAAAGAGTGTAAAAAAAGAGGCAAAAGACATCAAGAACTTGAGATCCGTAGCATACAGAAGACCCAGCAAACAGTCGCCACAGGCTGTCTCTTTGGGCGTGTTGTGTGCATCAGTGTCCCCTGCTGAGGT